TGGTTCAATTCCTTTTAACTGAAGTCACAGCTGGACCCCTCCACCTCATCACATATTGGTGTTTGTACAATGATGATGATCATGATGGTGGCGGTGGTGATGATGATAGTGTGATGTGATGATGGTGGTGATAATGGTGATGATGGTGATGATGGTGGCATGATGGTGGTGATAATGATGATGATGGTGATAGTGGTGATGATGGTGATGATGATGGTGGTGATGGTGGTGGTGATAGCAGTGATGGTGATGGTGACAATGGTGGTGGTGGTGATGATAGTGGTAATGGTGATGATGGTGATGATGGTGGTGATGCTGATGATGGTGGTGATCATGGTGGTTATGATGGTGATGATGGTGGTAATGATGGTGATGATAGTGGTGGTGATGATGATGGTGGTGATGATGATGGTGGTGATGATGGTGATGATGGCGGTGATGATGGTAATGATGGTGATGATAGTGGTGATGGTGATGATGGTGATGATGGTGGTGATGATGGTGATGATGGTGATGATAGTGGTGATGGTGATGATGATGGTGGTGATAATGGTGGTGGCAGTGATGATGATGATGATGATGGCTGTGACAGCAACTGAAGTTCATGGAATCTTATGTGCCTATCACTGTGCTAGGTACTTTGTTTTATTTCATTTAATATGCAAAAGAACACCCCAATTATTCCCCAGTGTACGCAACAGAAAACAGGCTTAGAGAGGTTAAGGGATGCCCAAAGACATCCTAAGTGGTGGAATCCGTGAGCAGCCCCGGGTCGCCTCTAACTTGCAGTGCCCCTCCCAGCCGCAACGACTTTCCTTCAGACGCTGCCCACTCCTTCATGGGGAGGCTGTGGGGGACAACCATACACTTAACATCAGCTTAACCAGATTGCTAGATGTTTCCACCTGACATCTCTGTTATCAGAGATAGACGTCCCTCCTTTCTTGTACAGATAAGTGACCTGGAGCCAGAGAGGTGAGTGATTTAAGATAGACAGCAAATGAGATTTAAAGAAATTATTGACGCTATTATAGATGTCCCCATCCTCCCCCTGTGTCTGTCTCCCGGCCCCCGAGCCCCCTTCCCTCCGGCCATCCTATACTGTTGTCTGTGTCTATGAGTTATGCATATTTGTCCTTTAGCTAATCCTGGATTTGAATTCAGATCTCTCTCTTTCCATCAGATCCCATGACAGACTGAAATTCAGGGCATTCTCCACTTAGTCACCAAGTATTCCTTGACTTTCTCTGGTGTGCCCGGTGCCGGTGAACAGGTGAACTTGATGCTGACCTTGTGATCCACCTATAAAACCCATGCTCGGTGCTTAGAAGGGTGCCTTGGCCGGCCTGGCCCAGTGTCCCCCGTGCCTGGCCATCCTTACCCTGCTGGCCAGAGATCCACGTTCGCCTGACTTCCACCTCTTCCGGAAGCTGCTTTGGGATGCCTCTGCCTCCAGGAAGAGTGGAAGCACCTGGTCCTCCGGCTCCTTAGAGAGGTCTGACCGCCGAGGACAGAGCCTTTGGCCAGGAGCCCAGAGGCCACGCGGTCTGCATTCCGGGGTGCCCCCATGCCAGTCCCTCCGCCTCGGGAGGGCCACACCACGGGGGGGGGGGCGTATCACGTGTTTGGTTATTTTCCTCTCACTTTGACATTAAAAAAAACAAAAACAAATAGCACAATTTCCCCTTAATAAAACACAGAAACGAGAGCAAGAAAGGGAAAGTCAAACTGTGTTGCTGTCCTCTCCCTCTGCCTCCCCTCCAGATTGGCCTCTCCCTGAACCTCAGCCACAGACTCTCAGGGCTGGGAGTGTCCTCCATGTTTGCTCCGCAGAAAGGGGCGGCTCCACGGCACATCTCGGGCCCTTTGTGACCTGGGGGACCTCACCAGTCCCCTCCCATGTCAGCAGAAAGGTACACGATAGAGGCCGGGTTTACGGTGGAAAACCACCAGGCTGCCCAGGAGGAACTTCTACGGCGGGGAAGGTGCCTGCCCATCAAGATGGAAGGGAAAGGATGTGGGCCGGGGTGGCACTGAGCACCCAACACACTGGGAGAGGTCACATAAACCTCAGAAGAGAAACCTTCACCGTTCAAACTTAGACCCATCCACCAGTCTGCACCTGGATGAATTCTGCGAATCATCTGATGAGGCCCTGCGGGTTTCCCTGCCCCCTCAGCTCTCCCACCCCCCTCCGCCCTCTGCCCGTTTGATTCCACAAACTTCAGATGATGAGGCTTACGGACCATGGAGTGCAGCCCCTCATGCCGGGAGGGAGTGCTGTCGTCCAGGGGACACGGTGGGCCCTGACTCGAGAGCAGAGCTGGGAGTGGAGCTCAGCCTTTGTTCTGGTTCCGGACCCAGCGTGTTCAGTGTGCTCTCACCTCCCCGCTGTCCCCCCACCCCCTGAAGGGAGCATTCTGCACACACCAGTAAAACAAACAGTGTTTATTCATCCGGGTCCTGGCCTGGCTCTGCACAGGAACCCGGGCTTCATAGCATGACTGGGAGCCAGTCTCATCCTGCAGGCGCCCGAGGCCCACCAGCAGGGGAAGACACTTCACTAAACATGGGCTACAGAGAGGGCACATCCCTCCCCCAGTTCACCACGTTTCTTCTGTGCAGGAGCCCCAAACTCTTCTGGGCACTTACACATGTTCCTTATGACGGTATGTGACCCGTCTAACTTCTATTTTATATATTATCCTAGGAGTACTGCATGTTTTTTCACACCCCGCTCTTCCTGGGGTGGCAGGAAGCACTAGGGACAGGTGCCAGGGGACATGCCACCAGCCACCTGGGCACCTCGGGAACCCTCCCAGCCCTGCGAATCCTCATTGACACCCGGGGAAGGAGGCTTGTTCTGCCCAGGTCGGAGGTTGCTGGGAAGATGGAGCAGCATCGTGCAGTGAAAGGGCCTGAGGTAGAAGCCACAACGAATGTAAAGCCTGCAGTTCCCTGGCCCTTCCCACAGTTCCCTGAAGCCACACGTGTGTCTGCTGGCAGGAGGCACATGCAGTGGCCAGCGGGGTCACCGCCCGGCCCCTTGGAGCAAGGGTTGCCAGAAACTTAAAAAAAGCTGGCTCCGACCTTGGAGAAGGGAACAGGGCATGCTCGCTAAGTGGCATCTCGCCTGCGCAGGCTCACTTTGCCACAGTGCCTGGCAATTCTAATGCAGCCCCGACAGCACAGGGAGAGGCCTGGGGAAGCCCGGAGCCAGACCTTCCTGGGGTTCTCAGGTGCACCCCAAGTCCCGCTCTGCTCCCCTGTGATGATGGGATAGTGGCTTCTCCACCTCAGAGGGTTGTTGTAGAGACTGAAGGAGTTAACCAAGCTCAGCACAAAATGAATGCTGGCGAACTGCTGGCCAGCTTCATGCTTTATGGACTGTCTGCCTGGGCCCGCACCATGCCCGCCTCATGGACACACAGACCTTAGGACCCAGCTTCTGAGGTTGGGATGCATGCCCCAGACACTTTGCTTCCCTCTTGGGGACACCTCCCTTGGTTTCCCGCTCCTTCCAGTGTCACTGCAGCTCCTGTGGGAGTCAGACCCCCCTGGACTGCCCATCCTGGCTGAATCCAGGCCTCAGGGATCCTATGGCATCCTCACGGGCGTCCCCAGTGGGTGAGCAGGTTTCCAGCCCAACCTCGGAACTCGCCGGGCCCTGGGGTGACCAGAAGGGGCTCGGAGAGCTGGGAGCTCATGGGTGGAAACTGTGCTGCAAGTGGCTTCCACACGCGCCCCGCCGCCCGCCAGCATGAGGGCTCTGCAGCTTCCTCGCTGGCAGCGGTGTGCGGGCCGCGGATCCGGGGGCGCGGGGAGCCTGGTGCAGGCCCGAGCGCCCGCGGGAGCGATTACCCTTGGAGGGAGGAACCTTGGAGGCCGGGGAGGACTCCAAGGCTGTGCGCCGCGCCCGGCAGAGGCCTCGCAGCCGGCTGGGAACGGAGCGCGGCGGCCCCTCCTCGGGACGCGCTCCAGCCCCTCCCCGAGCTCCCCACCCTCCGTACGCGGCTCCCAGCCCCGGCAAACCTGGCCTGACCCGCACCGGGCCGCGGGCCGCCCCGCGCCTCCCCACCGCCGGGAAGCTCGGCCCTCCCTCCGCCTCAAGGAGCGCCTGGGCGGGCGGACGTCCCGGGAAGGCCGCCGCCCGCGGCCACGTCCCCGCCCTGCCCGCCGCCGGGGAGCGGGCTCCGTCCGGGGCTCCGTCCCGGGCTCCGTCCCGGGCTCCGTCCCGGGCTCCGTCCCGGGCTCCGTCCCGGGCTCCGTCCCGGGCTCCGTCCCGGGCTCCCCGCAGCCTCGAGGGCCCGCGCCGCCGGCGCCCACGCTGGTCCCGCTCCGCGCGGCGGGCCCGCTCGGCAGGTAGGGGAGGCGGCGGGGCTGCGGCTGGGCGGGCGGCTCCGAAAGTTGATTTGAAATGCGGCCAAGAGCACGGGGCCGGCGGCTCCGCCCCGGCGGCTCCTCTGCACGGCAGCCGCTCCCGGCACCGGCGGCGGAGGGCGGAGGGCGCCCCGGGCCGGAGCCGGGACCGCGGCTCCGCCGTCCCGGCAGGGGCAGGTGAGGGCGCCCGGGACGGCCGGACGCGGGCCGCGGTGGAGATCGTGGTCCCGCGTGCCCCGGCCTTTCCGCCCATCCTACCCGGGAGGGAGCGGGGTTTGGGGGGGGACTCCCGGGGCCCCCTCAGGGGAGGCTGGGGCCGGTGGGGACGGGGCGGGTGGGGCCGGCCAGGAGGGGACTGGGCAGGAGGAGGACGCGCAGTGGGGGGCGGAGGCCGCAGTACATAACGCCGCGTGGACTTCGAGTGAAGTCAGAGCAGTTGGAGCCGCTCGCTGTGACTCGCTCCCCGCCCACCCCGCGCTCCTCCCGCCGGCGGCCTCTGCCCCCAGCCCGGCTCCCAGGCCGCTCCCACGCCGTTCCCGGAGCTCGCGGCGGGTCTGGGGGCACGGGCGCCCAGAGCGGCGTTTCCCATCCTCCGCAGGTCTCCGCGGCCCGGCCCGAGCATGCTGGACGGCCTGAAGGTGGAGGAGAGCTTCCCAGGCGCGATGGAGACGCCGGCCGCCTTCTCCTCGCTGCTGGGTGAGTGAGTGCTCGGCCCGCGCCCTCCGCGCCCCCTCTCCGTGGGCCCGGGCTGGAGCCGCCGGCGGGACGGGCTGCGCAACGGGGAGCCTGCGCCCCGCTTCCTGCACCCGGCGGAGCCCCGTCCGTCCGAGGCTCCGGTCCCTCCGGCTCCAAACCGACCAAGGATCTGGCCTGGCGCGCGGGCACCGCAGGCCCCGGAGCTGCTGCTCGCGGGCGTGTGAGTGACAAGCGGTTCACAACCACCAGCGCCAGGTTTTCATCTCTGAGCGGAGCGACGTCTTTCAGATGCTGCCCTCCCCACGGCCTGGAGGCTACCGGGTTCCAGGAGGCGCCTGGCACCCACCGCCTGCGCCCGGAGGGACCACGGCTTCCCGGGCGGCGGGCAGCGCGGCCAGGATCAGCCTCGCGGCGGGGCCTCACTCGGCTTTGATTAACGGGAGCCGTAGCTCGTCCCGCTGCCCGGCCCCTCCGGAGGGCCCGCGGGGCACTGCGCGTCCAGGGCCGCCCGACCTCGCCCGCCCGGCCCGCTCCTCGCACCTCTCAGGTCTGCGGTGCGGGCGCTCCGTGTGTCTGTGAGGGAGGCGTTTTCGTTTCGTCCAGTCCTTAGACTCCTTGGGATCTGCCAGCGCGGGGCGACGGCCGAGGGGGGCAGTTCAGGGAGAAGCTCCATGTAGGGGAGCCCCGCAGCTCCCCGGAGAACAGTCTCCCCGCTGCGTTCTTCTCTCCCGGCCCCCACCCCAACCTTCCCGGTGCGGGCACCGGAGGGCGTGGGCTCGGCCGGCAGGTCCTGGCGCAGGGCGCCCTCCGCCCGAAGCGGGCAGCAGGCAGCGGGTGCCCGGGCTCCGCGGGCATATCCCCGCCGGGAGCTGGGCAGACAGAGGAGAGAACGTTCACAGCGAGAGGCGTTGGCCCGTTCCCCTGCTGCCCACCGGGCCCCGCGACCTCGGCTCTCCAGCCCGGCGGCCTCAGGGGAAGCGCGGGGAGTGAGGAACCGGGAAGGGCAGGTCCTCCGGGACATCATGCTCAAGGCTAGTTCCCCGGCGAGGCCCCCTCAACAAGGTGAAATGTGCCAGCGAAGGCGGCCCAGACTCCCTCGCATCCCCAGGACTAAGGGACCCGAAGGGGAGTCCGCGGCCAGGACCCGGAGGGAGGCCGGCGCTGGGCGGTTCTGTCCGATCGCACCCCGGCAGCTGCTGAGCCCGCAGGCCTCCCGGGTGCGCAGCCTCTCCCCTGGGCTTCCCTTCTCTTTACGCTGCTGCCGCGGTAGGAAAAGCCGGTTCGCAGTGTGCACAGCGGCCCAGACACAGCAGTTTGGGGTTCATTGGTTTGAACAGTTTGCCTGATGCGAGAGGGCATTTTTCTGTACGCGGGACTTTTTGGGACGAAAAAAAAAGTAAAGTCTTCTCTCTCTCTCTCAAAAAAAAAAAAAATCTAGAACTTCGTTTTAGCAAAACGAAATAAGTTGTTTGTATACAGGCAGTTTTACTGGGTCAGTGGAGACTCGCAGAGGGCGGATTTCATGGCCGATCCCCGGAGCCCAGGGCATTGCAGTCTGTGGTTCCCAGGACGTTTGATAACTAAAGCCTCTTACAGAGTCCTCTCCCTCCGCGGTACAAGCCAAACCTTCCGAGTTTATTAGTGGTGCCGCCTGGTTTGACTTCTCTGTCTCCAAACCCGGCTGCGAGGCTCACACGGGGCCTCAGGGGCCTCCGCGGAGTGAGCGCTGCGGGAGGCGCAGCCCCGGAGGTGGAGGCGGAGGCGGCGGCGGCGGCGGCGGCGGAGGCGGCGGCGGCAGCGGGGTCGCAGGTCCCGCGGAGGAGGAGGCTCACCAGGAACCCTTGTCGCTGCAGGCCGGGCGGCGAGCCCCAGGTCGGTGTGCGAGGGCTGCCAGCGGGTCATCTCGGACCGGTTTCTGCTGCGGCTCAACGACAGCTTCTGGCATGAGCAGTGCGTGCAGTGCGCCTCCTGCAAGGAGCCCCTGGAGACCACCTGCTTCTACCGCGACCGAAAGCTCTACTGCAAGTTCGACTACGAGAAGTGAGTGTCCGCGGCCCCTGCCCCCGGCGCCACCGGGAGCCCCGGAGCGCGGAGAAACCGGTTCCGGCCCCCATCCGGCACCTCCGGGAGGGAGGGGAGAAACGCAGCGACACCCGCCGCCCTGGACTCACAGGGAGGCTCCCCTTGGTGGACGGCGGGCCCACTTTTCGGTCCTCTCGGGTCCCCCGCCCCAACGTGGGACGCCCGTCAAGTTCCTTCCCTCCAACCCCCTTCCGTGGGGTGCCCTGCTACAGCCAGTGTCTCCTGGCGGTTCCCGGCCCACCTTACCCGCCTGCCTGTGCTCCCCACACGCTGATGCCAGCCCCGAGGCTGCTGGATGCCAAGGCCCCGGTCCCCTGCGCCGTTCCCCCGGGCTTTGGGGTCCCCACAGACTGTGGGCAGAGGTGGAGCTGCGCCTGAAGGAGCATCGGTGCTCCCAGTGCTCCCTTTTGCCTTTTCTCTCCCTGTGCTCTCCCTGCCCTCAGCGGTCCTGCAAACCCCTCCACCGGGCTGCTGGGCCACTCTTGGGCCTCTCGCAGTCCCAGTTTCATCCAAGTTCCATCCCGCCTCCTCCGGATCCCTGGCTTGCCTTTCTGCCACGGGGAAGGGGGAATGGCCACGGGGAAGGAGGAATTCCCTCCTTCGTATGGAGCGCCCGGTGTGCTTTGAGGTGAAGTAGGAGCTGGTATTTGAGAAAGTGATTATTGGGAATCGGGGACTTGTGCTACCTGAAGCCTGGGTGAGGCTGGGAGTGCCTTCAGGTTGGCTCTGAGGAGCTAAGCGGAGGGGGACTGCTTTCCCTGTCAAAACGGCTAATTAACTGGAACTTTACAGTGCCTCAGAGGGTCTTGAAGGACCCAATGCAGCTGAGACAGAGGCCTGTGTCTGTGCTTGGGGCTGGTCTGTGTGGTGTGGGCGTGGGAGCCTGGGGAACATTTGTGACTGGTGAAGGAAAAGGCAGCTCTCTGAGGGTGCTGGAGGGGGTTGGGTCCCGCTGCTACAGACACACAGCCAGGGGTGCACAGCCTCCATGGAACAAGAGCACCGGGAAAATGAATGTGTTCCTCTCCGCATCGCCACGTTTTGGGTTTAAATGTGACAAAGCTGTGACACCCGTGAGCCCACACCAGATACTCTTTCTGCCACCCAGTGCTGCTTTGCATGAGATACCTGAGTTCACCCCATGTGGACAGAGGGCAGGGCATTGGTGTGTTTTGAAGAGATACCTTTACATTTTCAGCCCTAAAAGCAGGTGCTGGTGTGGGGTGAGCTGTACAGTGCAGAACAGGACAGAGTGAGAGTGCATGTCTGCGTTGGCATGGCAATGATGGCTGGCACTGAAGGCAGTGGCCTGTGTCTGTCCCTGGCCGGCTGCTCCTGCGGCCCTGTCCGAGGAGAGGCGCGATGTTTAGGTGATGGAGCATGCTGCCCACACAAGCAAGTCTCACCTCCGGAGAGAGCTCCAGTTTGGCCTCTCGCTTTCTGCCTGGAGGCGGTGGATTGTGCAGACCCAATCTTTATCTTTCTGCTTATCGACGATTACCGAAATGTCCACATCGTTGGGCAGAACACTAGCAGATTCAACAGCATTGGGGCTTAGGGAAGGGATTTGGGTTGTGAATTCCTACTCTGTTTGTTAAAAAAAAAAAAAAAAAATCAGAAAAGGCTGCAGGGTCAACACAGCTGTGTGGCTGGAGGTCCCCTTTAAGGAGCCAGGCTGTGTGGAGAGGAAGCTGTTGTAGGCCCTTCACACAACCACGTCCTCCACCCCAGCCCCCAGGCTTGGCGATCGCCGATTAGCCCACTTAGGGTCCCTTCTCCCCTGGAAAACGGTTTCTGTGGAGAAAATTGCAGGGATCAGTTAGCCAGCTGTTGGCCAGAGCCAGGAGGGCTGAGAGAGGAGGCGAGCGGCCACGCTGTTCGGAGAGACGGTGATGGTGCCAGGAGGGCTTCCATTTTAATTTCCAGCAACGCTTCGGAAACAGATGTCCGAGACGGGAGCGAGGATGCCGAGGCTCCGTGCCTGTGTCCCCCACCTGTCAGTTGCTTTCTTGGATTAATTTTATTCCCCCGTCCCCTCCTCCTCTGCCCCTCACCCCACCCCACTCCCATTCTTCTTCCAACAAAACGGGGTTTTAATATATTTGACCATCTCCATGGTGTTTAGTCTGCGTGGTGGGAGAGAAAGGAGAGGATTGTGTCTTTGTTTTAAAATTGGGCTCAAGACAAACTCCTTTATTATTGCAGGGACCTGCTTCTATGTGCAGGGTAGGGCTGTGTGTGTGTGTGTGTGTGTGTGTGTGACTAGCCTCAGTCTGCCCTCAGGGGGCTGTAGCCAGTGCCTTTCCCATCCTGCCCTGGCCACCAAGTGTTTCTGGGAAGCCTTTATCCTGAGGGTTTGGGTGGGAGCCGGGTGACAGTGTCCGGATGGCCAGGCACGTACCCTGGAGAGGAATACAGTCCAATTTTAGATCAGAGTCACAAAACCGAAAGCTCCTCTCCTCTCTAACACGTGCATTTATAAACACAATTTTGCTTTTCTTTCACTGGATCTTTTAAAAATTTGAGGCCCAGCTGAGGCAAATGGAGAGGAAAATACGATAGAAGTTGAAGTGGTTGGACACGATTTTGGGGGATTGTGGGTTGCGTCATAGAAAATGAGCATCTGGGAGGTGTCCTGGCATCCAAACCCGTGAACTCCAAAGGCTCTCTCTAGACACATCAGTGACGAGGCAGACAGCTGCCGTGTGTCCGGGCGCCGTGCACGCCATGCTCATGGTCACAGGCATGCTGGTCACGTATGTTTCAGCCACTCGTATGTGCATTGCTGGCTGTTGGGCAGTTTTGCACTTGAATTATTAGCTGCCGGTTCCTGGTGCCAGGCAGCCAGTTAAAAAGTGAAATTTCTATTCTATCAACTAGTCATCACACCCTCTCAATGTCTGATTAAAAAAAGGAACGGACAGGGGTACCTCAGGCGCACGCCTCTCATTTGAAAGCTTCAGGATGCGCTGTTAAATATTTCTGTCCTGCACGAGGACGCCCCGAGGAGCAATCCGTCTCTGAGTCATCCAAAACAAATAAGCATCGAGGGCCCGAGCGGAGAGCGCTGATTTACGCACGTCCAGAAATGAAGAACTGGGCGGGACCTTGATTGTTCGGGAAAAAGACTGGTCTGGCGGGGACAGCTCCCGGGGTCGGAGGAGACGGTGGGCACATGTTCCCAGGACGCTGGAGGTGCGGGTGGTTAGGGAGTGGACCCAGCTGTCTTCCGTGTCCCCGAAGCGAGCAGACGAGCAAAATGCTTCCCAGCCTCGGGGACTTCTATTTACAGAGCTCTGGTCCCTATGGAACGGAGTCCTGCGATGTGGGGAGTTTGCGGTTTTCCCTGTTTTTCCAAGCGAATACTGCAGTCGGACCGAAGCGGAGGCAGGAGAGGCGCGGAGCAGGGGCGTGCCACACAGTGGATCCCAGGCCTCTGGAAGGGCTCCAGGTGCTCCGGTGGGTGCTGTGTCCTCCCTGCGCCTGGCAGCTTCGCCATCTGCAGGGCATGTTCCCCTCACCTGTGAGGTTTATCATTGTCCCGAGATTGCGCCGAAGCCATCTGGGATGGAAGTGCTGTCGTGCGGGCTGTTCTCCCAGCAGCATAAACGCCTCCCGTGTCAGCAGATCGCAGGCCTGGGAGCCTCTCCGGGGACCCCGGGACCTCCCCTCGCTCAGCTCTGCGGAGAAGGGGAATCGGGGCTCTGCACACAGCCCTCTGAGAACCTACCTCAGTAGCATCCCTTTTTGGACTTGCCAATTGGCAGCCTCTCGGAGAGGATGCCTGAGGGACTGGCCTTTGTTGGAATCTGAATGGACTAATTGTGAGTTTATCAAGGTCACCGAGGATGTGCAGGGAGGGCTGTTAGTTTGGTTTTGTTACCGGGACACTCTGTGGAGATCTGAATTGGGCCCGAAGTTCCTCCTCCAAGGAGCCACCCATGAAACGGCAGAGGCCACTGTTCCATTTCTGCTGGACTTTCTCCGTGGCTGGCCCCGGGCCGGGCATAATAAAATGCAAGGAACACAGCAATCAGACACAGCTCGGTCATAAACTGCCGTCTATGTTAAATTGCTGGGGGTTTAGCCTGGAATACGCAGCGCCATCCCCAGGCTGTGGCCCTGTGTGTGTGTGTGTGTGTGTGTGTGTGTATGGTGTGTGTAGTGTGTGTATGTGTGTCTATGGTGTGTGTGTGTGTGTGTGTGTGTGTGTGTGTGTGTATGGTGTGTGTGTGTGTGTGTATGGTGTGTGTATGGTGTGTGTGTGTGCATGGTGTGTGTATGGTTTTTGTGTGTGTGTGTGTATTGTGTGTGTGTATTGTGTGTGTGTGTGTGTATGTGTGTGTGTGTGTGTGTGTGACACATCCTTTGTCTTTTATTTAGAGGGTGATTGGAAACAGTCCTCGCTCAGAGGTGTTTTCTTTTTTTTACATATTGGTCCCCGGGCAGGGCTTTCTTGGAATCTAAGACTAAACATTCTGAAATAGGATCAGATCGCAGGCGGAGATATTCGTGGAGTCCTGGGACCTCGAGAGGAACGTGGCCTGTGGAGGGGCTGTGGGTGCCTCTGATTCTCACTAGGAAGGGTGAGGGTCCGGGCCGAGCGGTCGGGGACATTGTCCTCCCCCTGGCTGCGCTGTGCCTATTGCTCTTCACTGTGTGGCAGGGACTTTCTGATCGTTCGCTGTTTGCTGGGGTTTTTAGTTTCATTTTTCCTATTTATGGTTTTTGTCTCCATCAAAATCCTGTTGGCAATTCTAGAGACGCGCTCTCACTGCCCCTTCTTAATTCTGGGAGGCTTTTGCAGATAATGAAGATGTGATGTGTCTCCAGTAAGAACAGCTTCATTTATTAAATTATCAGCTAATTACTGTTACATGGTCAAAGAAATGCTTTGGGTCCAAGTATTTAGAAGTGAGAAAATAAACAAGGATTTAGAATACTCATGATATTACCAG